ATTATGTATTGAAAAAAGGCAAAACTATATCTTTGACCTATTTTTATTATAGATTGTATGTGGCTTTGACAGTTTTGACTAGTACTAAAATCAAAAATCAAAAATAAAATCAATTCCGTTTTTTATATCAAAGAATCTTTATTTGTTTTTTAAAAGATTTGTTTATAAATAGCTTTTGAAAATTGTTAGATCCAGGATCCAATTGATCTGAAAAAAAAAAATACAATCGTTTTCCATCTTTTTTTGTTTTTTTATTTAATAAAGATTCTTTTTTTAAACAATTAAAATATATAAAAATTTACTTAAAAAAAAATCCCATTGATTGTACCAAATTTTTTATATAAAGGATGAGTTTACTTGTTATTATTTAACTAATAAATTATAATGTTTCAGGTGAAATTTAAATGTAAAGATCTGAAATGTTTCACTAGAACAAAAAAGCCAAACACAAATCCAAATTCTAAGCCAACTCAAATTCTAAAAAAATTTATGATAAAATCTCACATGATAAAAATAGCAACTTCACAAAATTCAAGCCAATTGATTTTCTTGTTCCATTTCCTAAGACAAAATCTCCTTTCATTTGATAAGTTTCAGAGGCTCTACAGATACTGAGAGTGATCAAGAGCATATACCAAATTGATTCATTGGAAGGATTACACCAATCATCACCAATTGCTAATAATAATAATAAAGTTAGTTTGAAATCAAATTGCAAATAAATAAACAAATTTTATAACAACCAAGTTCAATAAGTAGAACTTCTTCACCAAATCCATTAAATGATCATATCCGCGATAGTAATAATATATATTTATTACGTTCAAATTCACCATCGCAACCTTTAAAATTAGAAGATGAAAAATCTTTACCAATAACAATAGAATCAAGAAACTACAACGGATCATACCATAATAGGAATTGATGCGACCGAAAATGATCGACATGAAGTCATCGCAAATTTACAAACTGACAAAAATATCAGAATGGGTGAGTAAATAAATTATTTAAATAATAATGGATTTATTCTATAAAAACGGTCTTTTTTATTTATATACATTTCAAATTTTATTTCTTCTTTTTAATGTATTAGCATTTGTAAGAAAAGTATATGGAATATTGACACTACAATTATTAACAACTATTGGTGTTACATTATGGTTTATGTTACACGAGCCAACCCACACAATTATAAATGATAAGTAAGTATTTTCATATTCATAAATTTTTTACATACATTCATGCATATATTCATTTTTTATTCATAAAATTTTTACCTTTACCTTCTTTATATAGTCAATGGATATTTTTTGTGTCAATGATTTTA